AATAATAATTTTTGACAGCAAAATACATACATCATTAAGATTTTTGAAGTCATTTTGAATCCCTCCTGTGGACCTGCCCACAAGAGGGATTCAAAGGTAAATGGTCAGACGTATAAAAAACCAAATGATAGGTAAAGACATGCATCTGTATAAGAAAAAATTACACTAATTTGTTCATTTTTGATAACACTTAACAACACTTAACGCAGAACAGAAATTATAAAAATAAAAAACGGTAGCACAGTGGGGTCGAGGCACAGTNACACTTAACGCAGAACAGAAATTATAAAAATGAAAAACGGTAACACAGTGGGGTCGCGGCACAGTATGGACGAGTCATAGATGGGAAGAGTATAGATGATATCTGACAGTGATTAAAATCACTATCATAAGAAACGCTTCGATGCAAATCTGTAGTCAGTGTTTAATTTAAAAAAAATGATGGATAATTACAAAAGCAACATCAACATATATTTCCTTAATTATACTCAGATTACTAATTCTTTTAATTATACATTATATAATATTTAAAATGAATTGTTTTCAAATTATTGTTGATTTTGATTTTTAATATGTTAAAAGTAATAATTTTGAACCTACTTTTTATTGTCCTTTAAAGTGAAAGTTTTAATAAAAAAACAGAACTGCTTCAATGCAAATCTGTAGATAGTGTTTAATTTTAAAAAATTGATGGATAATTGCAAAATTAACATCAACTTCTATTAAAATAAAATACAAAACCCATAATTTTAATACAAAAATAGCATATTTTTGAATACGGCAGCCATTTGCGTATAGAAGATAGGTTGTCGGGACCAATTTTTTTTTTCATTTTGTAGTACATAAAATAAGCTTTAATTTTATATATGTTTGAAGGACACAGTATTTCCGGAACATTTTCAAAAATTAAGTTGAAAAAGTTATTTTTTGTAAAAAAGTTACTATTTTAAATCCTCCCAGTGAGCAGAATAAGTGTTAGATTTTCAAAAAAAATTATATCAAATGAAAGGGAAATATCTAAGGTTTCAATACAAAAAAATATTATTTTTATTTGTTCATTTTTGAAAAAGTTATGGCAGTTTTAAGTACAAAAAACATCCCGATAAAATGTAATTTTTATCGCAAACATTACATTTTTTTTTAAATTTTCGACAGCCATTTGCACATAGAAGATAAGATGTCGGGACAAATTTTTTTTTTTCATTTGATAGTATATAACATAACCTTTGATTTGATATATGTTTAAAGGACGCAGTATTTCCGGAACATTTTCAAAAGTTCAGTTGAAAAAGATCTATGTTTTTTACAATATTTTAAGTTTTGAACGCCCCCTATATAAGGGGAAATTGTCCAATTTTAATAAAAAGTATGTCAAATGAAAGATGTACTTATAATGTATTTAGAAAAAAAAAATTTGTGCTGATATATACATTTTTCAAAAAGTTATAGCATTTTTAAGTTGAAAATTTAAAATCGAAAATCGAAAATTTTAACACAAAAATAGTGTTTTTTTAACTACGGCAGCCGTTTAAATGTAGAAGAAAAAGTGTCGGGACAAATTTTTTTTTTTCATTTTGTAGTACATAAAATAAGCTTTAATTTGATATATGTTTAAAGGACGCAGTATTTCCGGAACATTTTCAAAAATTAAGTTGAAAAAGTTAATTTTTGTAAAAAAGTTACTATTTTAAATCCCCCCAGTGAACAGAATAAGTGTTAGATTTTCAAAAAAAATTATATCAAATGAAAGGGAAATATCTAAGGTTTCAATACAAAAAAATATTATTTTTATTTGTTAATTTTTGAAAAAGTTATGACAGTTTTAAGTACAAAAAACATCCTGATAAAAGGTAATTTTTATCGCAAACATTACATTTTTTTTAAAATTTCGACAGCAATTTGCACATAGTAGATAAGGTGTCGGGACAATTTTTTTTTTTATATTATAGTACATAAAATAAGCTTTAATTTTATATATGTTTAAAGGACGCAGTATTTCCGGAACACTTTCAAAAGTTTAGTTGAAAAAGTTCTATTATTTATACAATGTTTCAAGTTTTGAACACCCTCTATATAAGTAAGAATGGTCCAATTTTAATAAAAAGTATGTCAAATCTAAGATATACTTATAATATATTTAGAAAAAAAAATTTGTTAATAGAAAATCGAAAATTTTAACACAAAAATAGGGTTTTTTTAACTATGGCAGCCGTTTACATGCAGAAGATAAAGTGTCGGGATAAATTTTTTTTTTCATTTTGTAGTACATAAAATAAGCTTTAATTTGATGTATGTTTAAAGGTCGCAGTATTTCCGGAACATTTTCAAAAATTAAGTTGAAAAAGTTAGTTTTTGTAAAAAAGTTGCTATTTTAAATCCCCCCCAATGAACAGGTTAAGTGTTAAATTTTCAAAAAAATTATATCAAATGAAAGGTAAATATCTAAGGTTTTAGTATAAACAAAAATTATGTTGAGTTGTTTATTTTTCAAAAAGTTATGGAAGTTTTAAGAAAAAAAAGTAAAAAAAATGACAAAATTTACCGATTTTTAAATTTGTAATTTTTTTGGATATTTCCCCCATTTACAGGAAACGAGGAAAATTTTTTCAATTTTTAAGGGTAATGTACAACTAGATACAATTTGTGATTTTTTGACGTATTGTTGAATGAAATCGGTCCACTGAGAACTGCGAAAAATTAGTGACAGACACCAAAAAAAATAAAATAAACACATCATGTTAAAATTAATACCTTCTTAGCTTCGCATCGAAGCTAATAACGTAGCTGTACATTGCTTTACTTTTAACGCGTATAAAAATTTTAAGGGATCTATGCAATACTTTTAATAAAAAATTTTTGTTGCTGGCGAATAAATACACTGACGACTACGAGGAACTTTCATCGGAAGCGAAAATATCTTTTCTAAATCGACTTTTTGCCATGTTTTAAACGATGCAATTAGACTTTTCTTATCTAGGTTTTAATATTATTATTTAAAACTTATTATTAAAAATAATTAAGAAAAAAAAATCGTTTTAAATAAATTAATACTGATTTTGATTATTAATACGTTAAGAATAAGGAAAACGACATATTTAACCTATCCTTTAAAGTTGATTTTTGTGAAAGTTTATAGTAAAAAAAAAAAAATTTATTTATTACCATAACTTTAAGCTCAATTGTTAAGTTTGAAATTGACATCGTTAAATGGAAAATTTTGTGAGAATTAAAAAAAAATTGTATCGTTCAGATTAATATGCAGTCAGGAAATTTTATAGTTACTATTTATAATGAATTTATCAGAGTAGCTCGATATTTTTTTGCATTTGCATTCGTGGAATAGAATCTATTACATAGATAACTTGAATAGAAATATATGTAATCATTTCCTAGTGACTTTTGGTGTTTCAAAAAAAAATTCTACAAATTAATTGCCATAACTGAATTGATTTTTACGATTTGCTTTGGATGAAATAATCAAAAAAAAAAAAAACACATAATATTTTTATCTCGAGGCAATAAAAGAGTAAAATACCTCCTCAGCTTCGCGACGAATCTAAAAAAGTGGTTAAAAAAGTCTACTCAATAGCGTACTATAAAATTGATTATAATTTTTATGATTACAATGATTATAATTGTAAAAATCCATTGTTAATTCAGGTAAAGTCACACAATCGTTTTTTTTGGAAACGATTTATATAGCAACGCGTTAACAAAGAAATTTGCAATATTTTAGTCTGTGGTATTAGCACACACAAATGGTGTAAAACAAATAATTAAATTACAAAGTAAAATGATTTGATTTTGTAGATGAAACCTATCATGTCAGACTCGATTCGTACTCAATAAATACTTTGTAAACGTTAGAAATGAACGATTTTAATTGTCTGTATGCAGAACACGGGGGATAAGTGACTGTTTAATTGATAAATTGGAATTTTTTTTTCATTTTTTCAGGGTGGTGTCTTATAAACTAATTGTAATCATTTGACGTATCGTTGACATTTGTGAGTTGAGTTGGAGCAGAGAAAATAGAAATGATAGAGTCACGAAATAAAACCTAAACGCATCGAAACTAAAACCTAAAATATAGTAAAATAATTTGAATTTTTTTTTTTTTCAAAATAAAGTATATTACATAGGCTTTAATTTAAGATATATAGTATATAATAAAAGTGTCAGTATTTCCGGAACACTTTCGAAAATTAAATTGAAAACGCCCTGGTTTCAATATGCATGTTTAAAGTTTTGACCCCCATCGTATTGTAGGGGTACGATGCGATTTACAAAAAAAGCGTGTCGCATGAAAGTGATATATGAAAATTATTTATAAAAAAACAACATTATTGATCCATACGTTTTTCCGAAAGTTTGGGCGATATAAATTTAATAATACAAAATATAAAATCGAAAATTTTTTCTTTAACTTTGATGTTCGTTTTCACCACGAAATATTACATTAAATTCAATCTAAGGTATATATAAAAGTGTCTGTCTTTCCGGAACATTTCCATAAGTCGAGTTAAAAAAGTTGATTTTTTGTAAATAAAGTTATAATTTTGAAACCCTTCCTGTGGGCTTTTAAAGAGTAAATGTTCACAAAAATATATAAAATGATAGGTAAATATCTAGGGNTAAATGTTCACAAAAATATATAAAATGATAGGTAAATATCTAGGGTATCGATAAAAAAAAAACCATATTGATTCGGTCTTTTTTAAAAAAGTTATGGCAATTTTACGTAAAAAAAATTTGAAAAAAATGTAGAAAATTAGCGATTTTTAAATTTGTAATTTTTTAGGGCATTTCCTTCGTTTACGGGGAACGAGGGAATTTTTTTCAATTTTTGAGGGTTACGTCGTCTTGG